CTGTGCCCAAACCAGAGAAATACAAAGTAGGCTGTTCCTAAAACAGAGAGGCACAATCGCCCCACCTCACTTTAAGGTGGCTGGCTGAGTGCTCCTAGGCCCAAATTGCATTCACATTCTTCCCGTTAAAGACCCTGACCCTACAAGCAGGACCAGGAAATGCCCCTGAAACTTAGTCATCTAACACCTAGCACATTTGGACCCTAATCATGATTGGGGCCTGTAAGTAGTAAAAGTCTTATTTTTATGTATTAATTATGATGATATAATTAATTTCCTTGCCTAAGAAAAGGTCAGTAGGAGCTTTGAGACTAGCTTTCTGATGGGGATTTGCCACACAAAGAGGGAAATAAAGATGAAAATAAAATGTGGTATCACTGGGCTGGTAAAATGTGGTATCACTGTTACTTTTCAGGCTCAGCAATGATTCAAACTTGGAATCTGCTCCTTCAAGCTTGTCAGCTTTTTCTCCTGGAGCTCCCTATGTTCATCCATAGGGTTAGGAAGAAGAGTAAGAATTGCACTGCTGAGTCATTGTGCCACCAGGAAACGTCAAACTGATCTAACGGTGGGAGCCAAAATAGCTTCTGTAGTCATACAGTCTGAAATGAAATCTAATCGCTGCTACACATTGTTCTAAATATGATTTTAGTTATGATGATAAGCTGAGCATTGAGCCCCAGAGAGAGGCTGAGTATCAACAAATCACTGTCCACATGAGAGCATGACTACTTTTGGAGTCAGAAGGAAGGTCTGTTCTTTCCACCCCATCCCCAAGTTTTACACTGTGTGTGTGTGTGCGTGTGTGCGTGCGTGCGCGCACACGCACGCATATGCCCACATTAGGGACCTCTCTTACACGCTGCATAAAGTGGTTTGTATCAGCAGTAGAACTGGCTGAATTATGCATTGCAAATATTCTAATTAATGTAGCTGTCTTTTCTCTTCAGAAATTGTTTGGCAGAAATCTGAATCCGTTCTCAACGTTTTTGTTAAGAATTGTTTGCCTGAGTTTGGGTGAACAGTTCTCAACCTGTGTGATATTCACACAGCTTTCACTTTGACTGTTCACAGTGAGGTGGACTCCAGACCGCAGCGAAGTCAAGTGAGCGTTCTGCCACTGACCTCAAAAGGGCCAGGATTTAATTCCATATGACTGGTCATAAGTTGAGAGGTATTGTTTGGTCTCTGGGATTGGACGAATGCAGCATTTTGAAGAGAGGAAAAATTGATGATGAATAAAGACTCACAAACAGCACCTACTCTTTTTCTTGTATCAGATCTATATAGGCATCCCTCCTGTTCGCAGTGAAGTTCCTCTTAAAGACCTGTTTATGTTGTGCTGCTCACAGTGAATCCAGCTGGTTTGTATGTTTAAAGAGAGTCCTTCTGTTCTCTTCCCCTAACCTCTGGCTATGTGTCAGCCTGTCCTCAGAATGCTTGCTTTTTAGAGAGGGGCCATCCCTTCTTGAATATCTGGAAAGTGCCTAGCAAAAAATAATAGACAGCCATTCCCCAAACTGCCATGTGAATGTCTGTGAAGGGTGAGGAAAATGGATGATGAACCATGTCAAACTGAGCAGCCACTCAGAATATCAGATGTTGGAAGTGGATGATTGTTTTGCAGTATTCAACTCATGCTACTCTGTATGCTCTGCTGTCACATTTTATTGCTGCTACAGGCTGTTTTTGATATGGTGGGGCTGGTACAGCCATCAGAAGAAGATGGGGAAGTCACCTGCCCCAGCTTTAGTGGCCCTTGTAGAAGATTCCAGGAGGAGACAATCATCCTTATATAGGTTTGCCTCAGCCACATATCCTCTCCCGTTTCCTTGGCTCACCCATCTGCTCCATGCTTAGAATGGTCAGAAAGGAGTCTGTCACAATGTAGGAGCAGCAGCTTTGGTAAAACAGTGCTTAAAGTTTGCCCCTCCGGGACCTGACTCAATTTTTTTGCAGTGTCTGTCACCTCTTGCGGACTCTCCCCTCCCCCCTATTCTAAGCACTGTTGCTTCTGTTGTGGTGGTCCACCTCCTGGCACAGGCAGCAGCTGGGAGCGCTCCTGGAGGTGTTGCAAAACTGGCTCTGTGTCTGCTCTATAGGTGCCATGCGCTGTTGCTATTCACTGAGGGAGGAGGTTGTGTAGCTTGCACCTGTCCCATGAGCTTACTTGGAACAAGGGGTACTAGGGATATGGTGAAAAAACTGGCTTCATGAACTTTGGCCTGATCATTCGACTTTGTGAGTTAATGCTTAGGTGTTAGTGCTCTAAAAGGTTGCATGAATGTCTTTGCACTTATTTAAAAGGAGGTTTGGATGAGGCCCCTCTGAAAAGCAGGCCCATTATTTTTTCTCTTGAGTTCATTTGCCAAATTGTGGCAGCTAAAATTGTCTTCCTCACCCATTGATCTGACCATAAAGTTTAAATTCTCATCCTTGGCTTAATAGCCCTCCATAACTCCAGGCCTGCCAGCCTAGCCAGTCTAGTTGCTTGAGTTAATTTCTCTATCACCCACTCTTCTACACTGCTAAGGATGCTAATTTCATGCCCAGTTTTTCCACCTCATGCACAACCATCTCTGTGCCTTTTCTTTTATCCCCTAGGCATATAATGCCTTCATACATTTGGTTTGACAAGCTACAGCACTCTCCTCTCCTCATTTACACCCCTCCTTAAGACTTGCACAATGGCAACCAGAAATGAGTTAACCGCAATGAAACCCAAGCTACTTACTGAACAACCAAAACTTGTGCATACCTAAACTGAGAAACTGAATGGCCTTGCTGCACACTTTGTCCTGCCTTCTCATCCATTTCCTACTGCTTCTTACCCCCACTAATTGCATCCCATCTAAAACTAGATGGTAAGCTTTTGGGAGCAAGTACCATGGGTTTTTTTTTGCACTGTAAAGCACCCAACGCACTTTTGGGACACTGCAGAAGCAATTGTATATACAGTGTTTTATTCTAAGGTATAATGCTAGGGTACAGTTCCCTGCCACTTCAGTACTGTTGCTATTCTAAGTGGAGCACATGAAAATTAAAACATAGTTAAAGAGTATATTTTCATATTAGGCATTAAAATATGCTTATTTAAAAAAATTAAATGATGTGGGAAAGAAGGCACTTATGCTTGTTGAATAAATAGTGCAGAAGAGAGACTCTCCAGAGGTACTTAATTTTTAGAGTGCAGTATATCATAATTATCCCAGTAAGGGTTATAGAAAGAGAAAGAGACCTTGGTTTGTCTGGATACATTCAACACACTAGGCTCCAATGTTTGTATCACCATCAAACAAACCTCTCTTGAATCTCAAGATTCTTAGTGCATTTTTAATTCAGCTTCATTCTTAATATGCTTGTGATTTAGAGTAAGCAGGGAATGAGAAGTGGGGGTTGGGGTGAACAGGTTCTCGGAAATTCAAACAGGCAGAGATGCAGTGTCAGTGGAATGGCTGAGAGGGAACTTGCTCAGAAACAAGGCCACTGAGTCAGAATGACATCTCATTCTAACCGTGAACATTTATGGGGCATGCGAGATTCTGTACGAGCCTCTGGCTGAACAAGGGGCGGGGATGGGGAGGTGGCAAGGATATGCAGCTAATATTTGAACAAGGGGTTCCCCCAAAATATTTCCCCAGAAAGAAATTTCTTCCTTAGCCTGTGACAAACTCTGCAAGTATTTGCAAAGAGAAAGGGGCATCAGACTGTTGGTGTTTTCCCTTTTAATTAAAATGTTTACTCATAGCCAAAGAGGAAACAGCACCTGGCAAGTATGAGCTAGATTCTGCCTTGCCCTTTGGGTGGGTGTGGTGGGGAAGAAGGGAACATTGTCTCTTGGCCTCTTTCCTCTCCCAGCCCCACTCCTGCATTCCTGGGAGCCTGGCGGCTACTCCCTCCATGCATCTCCAGAACAAGGCCCGGCATGGCCCCATCCCCTATCTGTACTAGCTGGGCAGATGTGTAGAGGAGAGCACACTGAACCATTGGGCAGCATGCACAATCTTCCTGTGTGCCTGGCACAATCCCTCCCACAGCATCAGTGCAGCTCTGTGTATCTCCAAGTGTGGGCTTATGTGTACATTACACAATCTGTCTCTATGCTGAGACTATGCCTCCACTAACAAAAAAGGGGAGTTTTACAGCAAGATAGCTAATTCAAGACAGGCATCTCTCTGTAAAACCCTAGCAGGGACAAGGACTGGTACTTCTTACATCAATGTAGCAAAGTAAGGTCAAATTTATACCCCCGCCAATGCCCACAGATGATGATCTCTAGCTACATCGAGGTAATAACTACACAGCCTTGTTTCCCCTAGGATTTTACAATGAGATAATGAATGTGAGTTGGCTATCTTACTGTAAAAACACACCTTTTCTGTCAGCAAAGACATAGTCTCAATATATTGATCTTGTTAGGACTTATCTCTGCCACCCTAATTCCATGTGATAAAGTCCTGTGTTCCTATGTGCAGGATAGCAACCATCTTCCTTGGTTTTATGCTGGGATTTCTATTTTTTGTTGGGTTGATTCTGGGCTCTTGAATATTTTTATATACCCTTTGTTTCCATGATCCTAGGAGACATGCTTGGCATGGGATGATATCAAATTCAGAATTCCGGATAAATACTAGCTGGGCACTTATTCTATAAGCTTTTTCCCACTGGAAATATTTTAAATCTTCTAAAAATCAGGAAAGTACACCTGGTATTTCAAAACTTTCTCAGGGAAGCCCTCGTTTTCTAATGTCTCACTGTAGCACCATACAGCCCCTCACATTGGTTTGGGTGGCTGCTTAGCTATCTAATTTATTTTAGGGTTGTCATAAATATAAAGGGAAGGATAACCACCTTTCTGTATACAGAACTATAAAATCCCTCCTGTCCAGAGGCAAAACCCTTTCACCTGTAAAGGGTTAAGAAGCTAGGATAACCTCGCTGGCACGTGACCAAAATGACCAATGAGGAGACAAGTTACTTTCAAAGCTGGAGGGGGCGGGAGGAAACAAAGGGTCTATCTGTCTGTGTGATGCTTTTGCTGGGAACAGAAAAGGAATGAAGTCTTAGAACTTAGTAAGTAATCTAGCTAGATATGCGTTAGATTTCTGTTTTGTTTAAATGGCTGGTAAATAAGCTGTACTGAATGGACTGTATATTCCTGTTTTTGTGTCTTTTTGTAACTTAAGGTTTTGCCTAGAGGAATTCTCTATGTTTTGAATCTGATTACCCTGTAAGGTATTTACCATCCTGATTTTACAGAGGTGATTCTTTTACTTTAATTAAAATTCTTCTTTTAAGAACCTGATTGTTTTTTCATTGTTCTTAAGATCCAAGGGTTTGGGTCTGTGTTCACCTATGCAAATTGGTGAGGATTTTACTCAAGTCTTCCCAAGGAAAGGGGGTGTAGGGCTTGAGGGATATGTGGGGGGGGGGGGGGGGAAGATGTCTCCAAGTGGTCTCTTTCCTTGTTTTTTGTTTAACAAGCTTGGTGGTGGCAGCATAGAGTTCAAGGACAAGGCAAAGTTTGTACCTTGGGAAAGTTTTTAACCTAAGCTGGTAAGAATAAGCTCAGGGGGTCTTTCATGCAGGTCCCCTCATCTGTACCCTAGAGTTCAGAGTGGGGAAGGAACAAGGACAAAGGGTTGTCTTTGGTACTCGTCACCTTAGTATCTGTGGACTTGTCCACATGACAATTTCTAATGTTTCAACACACATTCCTTAGCACATGTCAATTGTAATGGTGTCTAGGAACACTAGTTCCTTGACTACAGTTCCATTTTACAATCCTGTTAGTGACCATGTATTAAAATACAACCTCTATGTGGTGTACTAACCCTTTAAGGGACAGTCTTGAGCTTAGAGCCAAGACAGCTTGGGTACAATCATGGGGCATTCTGTCAACCTCTTAGGCTGGGCTATATAAACAGGAAAAAGAAACTGAGCAAGGAAGGAGGGGACCAGAAGCCATGCTGACTGCTACAGATTGAACCTACAAGTCACTAACCTGACCTGAGCCTAAGAGAGACTGTTTATCTGACTATATATTTAGTTGCTCTCATTCAAGGCACTGATGCAAACCTTCTATCTACTGGTCTAAGTGGCTCCTCCCTGACCTGATGCCTAAGGGAAAAGGAGAAAAGCCTCTTAGATCAATATGTGACTAGGAACTCTGCCAAGTATGGTGCCCTTTTTAAAGGCAGCATTTATTTTTCCTTAATTTGGTTTTAGTCTTCCTCTTCTTGGATCCTCGACACCCCTCCAAAGTTTGATTTATCAGAGGGATTGAACGCCCACAGCTCTGACAGCCTGTGCCTGGCTACCTTGTAATAAATGTTTGAACCAAATTGTAATAACTAGCTTCATGACAGAAGCTTTCACTTATTCTTAATACATGGGGCTCTGCTCCGGCATAGAGGGTATGTCTACACTGCAGCTGGGAGAGAGCCTCCCAGCTTGTGTAAACAGCCTTGGGCTAGCTTTATTTGATCTGGTGTACCAAAAATAGCAGTGTGGATGTTGCAGCTCTGGTGAAGAGTTGGGCTACGCACCAGAGCTCAGATTTAGGGAGTCTGGTGGGCTTGAGAGCCTGAGCTGCTGCCCAAGCCTTACTGCTCACAAGCCTTAGTGCTATTTTTAGCACACTGTTGCAGTGAGGCCACGGCTAAGCTATGCCTACTGTGAGGAGAGACTGATGGAAACCAAACCAAGAAAAAAAACCCAGAAATGTGGTGAGAGAAGGGGACCATAGGTTCCCTATTTATGTGATTTGCAAGAAGTGTTACCATTACTCAGGGGTCCAAGTGTGTTTAAATGATATACGTGCCTTGTAAAATCCCAAAGCAAGCTCATTTTCATTTCTCATGTAATAATCTCATATACAGTATGCACACATTTTTCATTAATTATATGAGTTGAATTTATTATTATTGTTATTATTAGCTAGGTTACTGGTTTTTTTCAGTGTGGAAAATTGTGCTATTTTCAGTGTTGAATGACTAAATGACATAATACTCCCCCAATGTCTGTCACTATGTCCGGTAATTTTGTTAAATGTCCATTGTGCAACATGGTGGTGCCCGTGCTTCAGGGGGACACAGGGTCCAAGGCGGCCTGGGGGGGTTAGTGGTTAGTGAATGACCCGGCCCCAGCCCACTCGGCCCCACCAGCTCCTGGCATTGCTCAGGGGCGGGGGCTTGGGGAAAGGAGCTGAGTGGGGGGGTGGGTGGGAAGAGGCAGGGTAGAGAGGGGTGGGCTTGGGCTGGGTTGCTTGCTGTTGCTGGCGCCAGGCCCCTCACTAATCATCCAGGCCACCCTGGACCCCGTGTCCCCCTGAAGCAAGGGGCCCCCAAAAGCGCAGGGCCCAGGGCGGTTGCCCCAGTCTGACCTATGAACGGGATGGCTCTGCTTGGGCACCACCAGAAATTATAGAAACCTGGCACCCATGCAAGGTCATACATAAAGTCAAGAACTGAACCCAGATCTTCCAAGTCCATCTTATTGATGCTATTGGATAGATCTTGCATGCATTCAGAAGATTTCTTTATTCTCATTTAGTTCAAGACCCTGCTCATCACATAAGTCACAATTTGTGATGGGGGTAGCTTGAACATATTGTATCCATTTACTATACAGTGCAAATGACTTTTTGAATCAGTGGTTTTTTTGTTTATTTGGAAAAGATCTTTTCTTATCCCCCTGCCACCTGCTTTATATGTGTATCTGTGTGTCCTAGACCGGAAAAGTGTCCTGTTGTACAATGAAATGAGAATTCATTTGTATAATTGCTCAATTATTTAAAGGGGGGAAAATAGCCTTCAAATTACTACTTCCACAAGCAGGAATAGTTTGTGCACCTACATTTAAACAAAATTAAACTTTCCCCTCTTTTGTATGAAATGAAAAGTTTGGGGCTTGGAGAACATAAAATAAATTGTTTACATAATTGATTTGTAAAAGATAACTTCATTGTAACACATTGATTCCTTTCTGTTTCTGCCCAATGATCACACACAACGTGCAGAAAAAAAAGTGACATATGGCACCTATGGAATTTTTGTTTAATACCAAATATGTAGTATCAGAAACATTGCTTACAAAGGGACAGATATAAATAATTCAGAATAACTCATTCAGAGTACACTTGGCTGGGTAGAAGCCATTTTTAGAAAGTTGTTCCTATTTAAGCACTCTTGCATATTGTAGATAGTTACCTAAAGAAAAAAAGGCTAAGATTTCTTGCTGACGATCTAAGGACTGTGAGTAAGGTTGCTGACAGATGGCTTACAGATATCATTCTGAAATAACTTATACTGACAAATAACAGTATGTATAATTAGTACTATGCAGATGGTATGCAAAATGTTCTTCTCCATCCTAGCACAGACCTTTTTTTTTTTTTTTTTTTGTGACAAAGACTATTTTAAGAGTTGAGTTTGGAAAACACTGCAACTCCATTAAGGATTGATCCAATTGCTAGCTGACTGCCAGCACAGTGTACAGTGAGCTCCTTGGGGTGGGGGCTGTCTTTTCATTCTGTGTTTGTACAGTGCCTAGAACTATGAGGCCCCTGGTTTATGACTAGGCCTCCTGGGTGCTACCACAATACAAACAATATATAAAGGAGGCAAAAGTGAACCAATCTTTGAGTTTTCAGATCTTTAAACAGAGGAGAGTTCAGAGGTAGGACAGTGAAAAGAATTAGTTTTTCTTTCTCTGAATTTAGGAAATTATGTAACAAACTAGCAAAAAACATTTTTGGGCTTAATATCCCACCTTTCCCACACTAAGGACTCTACTGGGGTTTTTATGCTGGACCCCCACTGGTGATCCTTGCTGATGTGTTTTTGACCAGGCTGATGGCAATGTCCACTTCTGATACATTCTTTGTGAGATGCTGAGTGGTTAAGGTGCTTAACTATAATCGCAAAGGCTGTAGGATTGTGTTGTGCTTGATCTCATGCCGAAGGACCACCTGTAGTTCACCCAAGTGCAAAATGGGTACCTGATCCATTGGGTTACAGCAGTCAAAGGTGATTGGACTTGATGCTGGCCACACCACTTCCTGGGGCACCATTGGCTATGAAAATTACATGCCTTAACTACAACAGCCAAATGGCTTATAGGCATGGGGAACTTTGATGGCAAAGAATGAACTCCAGTAGTGAGTTTGTATGATTTGTTTATGATTGTATTACCATCACATCTAGAGGCCCCAGTCATGGATGAGGACCCTATTGTGTTAGGCACTGTGTAAACATGGAACAAAAAGAGCTCATAATCTTGACCAATGGTCCATCTAGCCCAGTATCCTGTCTTCCGACAGTGGCCAGTGCCAGGTGATTCAGAGGGAATGAACAGAACAGGGCAATTATTGAGTGAGCCATTCCCTGCCGTCCAGTCCCAGCTTCTGGCAGAAGATAGATACAGATAGATGGGGGAGTATAAGGAAACAATGTGACAGTATTGGTCAGCATGATGAGCAATGGTCTCAGCGCACCAGTAGCCTGGTCAGTGTTAAGTTTTTTGTAGACATCACAGCAAAGGAGAGCTCTAAGGAGAGTTTTGAAGAAGGACTATGAGTTAGTTTTGTGGATGTCTATAGGGAGCTCCTCGAAATGTGAGGGACAGGTTGGGAGAAAGCACGAAGGTACTTGTTTGGAAGATGTTTCAAAGAGGTTGGCATTACTGGCTGATTGGAGGCAGGAGTGGATGTCCTGATAGACGAGCCTTGAAAGTGAAGACCAGCATCTTATGTTTGATGTAATAGAGCAGTGGTTCCCAAACTTGTTCCGCCACTTGTGCAGGGAAAGCCCCTGGTGGGCTGGGCGGGTTTGTTTACCTGCCGTGTGCACAGGTTCGGCTGATCATGGCTCCCAGTGGCTGCAGTTCGCTGCTCCAGGCCAATGGGAGCTGCTGGAAGCCGCGGCCAGTACGTCCCTCGGCCCGCGCCACTTCCAGAAGCTCCCATTGGCCTGAGCAATGAACCGTGGCCACTGGGAGCTGCGATCTGCTGAACCTGCAGACGTGGCAGGTAAACAAACCGCCCTGGCCCGCCAGGGGCTTTCCCTGCACAA